CTAACTCACTCACTGAAAAAAAAGAATACATTCGAACTGGATTCTAAGCAGGCCAAAGAGTACATTCCACGTGCATCCAAGGAATATATCTTGTTGAAATTATTTTTATCTTGGCAACAGCAACATTTGAGTGGTGTCACATCAGTGTGGATAACGACCCAGCAAATGCTTGGTCAAATGGACCCTGTCAACTGGACCTGCGTGCTACAGAAGTCACTGGTGTGCAAAGCAGGACTCAGCATTTCTGAGTAGAAGCACCCAGTCATGCTAGTTTTCAAAATACTGTAAAAATGGAAAAAAAAACCCCCAAACTTTAGAAGTTGTGATTCTATTTACAGTTGAAGCTGTGCTAGAAAAGCAAGTGGGTAAGATAGTCCTGAAGAATGTGCGTGTCATGAGGGAATTGACCTGTGATCACAAGTTAAAATATAGAAGTCACACTATTGCCCTGACTGCCTGAATGGAAAAATATATTGCAGGATTGTTGAGCTAAAAAAGTCTGGATTCTTTGCTAAAATAAACTGTTGGTATCAACCAAGTATTGATAATATTAAAGCTATAATAATATCTAATGCTTATATAAGTTTAAGATGAATGTAAATCAGTAAGGAAACATTTAAAGTATTCAGTGGTATGTCTAAAAAATATAAATTACAGGCAGTTAAAATATATTTACAGGAAATGCATAACAAAATTGCTAAAAGCACAGATCATTATAGATTTTGCTAAGCAGTGTTTTATTATCTCCCTTCCCCGGTCCTCCAAACTGTGTTGAATGTGAACAAGCCTTGATGGAAAACAACTGCTATGACTCTAGTGATAGAAGAACATTAACTTTACCTACTGAGTCCTGGTGAAAGAGCTGTAATTTTAAGAATTTTATAGCAGTTGGTAGGAAATGAAGCTGATTGATTGATAAGAGCCAGTAGTAAAAATCTGGCCATATCTTAGTTTCATTGAGTGTGACAGCCAAGAAGGCCTGTGGGGAAAACAGAAAGCTGCTACTGCAGGATCCGCACAAAAGCTGTGTGGGCAGGCAAACACACGTGCACACGGTTCAGC